CACATCCCACAAACTTTGATTCAAGATAACTTATTGAATCTTGCATCCAGTTAACTTAGAGCTAAAAGACAATTGCCTTTGAACACTAGCATTCATGAATCTACTACTACATGTGTTCCGCACATTACATTATTGGCAAACTAGTTTAAAATCTCACCCTATATATTAATTCAAAACGTGTTGAGCTTAGGTAATAGATTCTCACGCTTCAAATGCTGACGTGACGAAAATCTATGTTTCGTGATGTTGTTTTTATATTATTTTTACTCTGGAGTTAGGTTTGGTATTAGAGATAAATAACTTTACACATATATTCATTAACTCAAGTCAACACTCATGTTGTACATGAGTATTAGTACTAGTAAATACTCTTGAGTGAGAGCTTTGCAACTCTTGTGGTCCTACCTGACTCGATTCTGGATTAGTCGGTTCCCCTGTGGATCCAAGTCCCTGTATCAACAAAAAAAAAAGAAATATTGAAAATTTGATAAAATAAAAAAAATAGAAAAAATATGTTTGACCAATACATCCATATATAGGAAACGACAAACGCGTGTGTTGAATTACAACACTAATAACTTAATTAATTATTAAGCTCGTGCTAGTTGTAATTATCCTAAAATGGAGTTTTTTCGTTTTCCAAAACTTGCTTAGTTTTCGCATAGTTATATGTGTTCTTGGCTAACAACATGATTATATTTTTGATAAAAAATAATCCTACATCCCTATTTCCTCGTAACTTCCTAAATAATTTTTTGACTTATTTATTGTTAACTCATGATTTATGAATAACTCATTTTTTTTTCTGATTTTATCTAATTTATAAATTTTTATGGCACATTGTTTGATGCTAAAGTTTCCTTATGTACTTCTGTATGTATCTAACCAATACAATACTCGTGTATTACCAAGGCCAAAAAATCTATGAAGCTATTGGATGTTTTTTTATGGAGTCATCCATCACTTCATATATGACACTTGTCCAAAGTGTATTTAGTATAGGACACTTGTCAATATGCTATTTGTGAATAAGTGTAGATGACTCCGTAAGTCATGTCATCTGGTGGTTCTATAGCAAAACCGTTACCAAGACAGTGTTGATTTAAAAATCATATATAAAAAATATTACAAGCTTTATATAAAAAAACTCTTTAAAACTAAAATAAATTAATATTTTACATAAAAGATCACTTTGTATTTTAATTAAATTGTCAAACTATATTTTCTTAATCATAATAATTAAACACACGTATATTAAATGAAAATGTCAACTCATATTGATTTTTTTTTTTTACTTATATCAATATTATTTACCATTACATGAGAAGAGTAGCATATATTTTAAATAAAAAAAAAATATATTGTGACATGCATGTGCCTAAATGTATACTATGTTTATTGAATATTATTTTTATTTATTTTTATATATCAATTAAACTTTAAACAAATAAAATTTTGAAAAAGTATTATATTATTTAATCTTTAAAATGAGTAAAATATGGAGAGAAATATTGAAAAATAAAATAAAATGATCACTAAGCATGCGAGCACGTTCAACACACGTATAAAGGATATTTGAGCCCTTTTGGTCAAAGAGCCGTGAGGTTTGGCATTGAATTATCTGTCTTTATTTTATGCAATTTTATTATTGCTGTTGTTTTTATTGCAATTGTCATCATCTTTCCTGCCCACGAAGTTATAATTAAGGTTCAAAATTCATATTATAACATACACCAATAACTACTAACGAAACATAAGAGCTGTTATTTGACTTTAAGGCAAACTAATATTTGATCGTGTGTATTTGCACAGACATAAAACACGTTTTTGTTTGTATTTATTAATTAGACATGTACTGTATTATATAAAAAATATTATTTTTTCGTAAGTTATTTTTATCATTCAAAATTAATTGAGATTTAAATTTCATTTTAACCATGCAACATTTA